GAAAAATGAGAGTGATGCAAGAAAATAATGAAAAACAAGGCAACAGCTTGCTAAAGGAGACCCAAAAAATACTGAAGAAAATAACACCTTAAAAATAGACTAACCCAAATGGCAGAAGAAATCCAAAAAGTCAACAAAGAGAAGAATGCCTTAAAAAGCAGAATTGGCCAAATGGAAAAGGAGGTCCAAAAGCTCATTGAAGAAAATAATTTCTTAAAAATTAGAATGGAGCATATGGAAGCTAATGATTCTATGAGAAATTAAGACATTATAAAACAAAACCAAAAGAATGAAAAAAAAAAGAAAACAATGTGAAATATCTCCTTGAAAAGACAACTGACCTGGAAAATAGATTCAAGAGGGATAATTTAAAAATTTTTGGACTACCTGAAAGCCATGATAAAAAAAAGAGCCTAGACATCATCTTTCAAGAAATTATCAGGGAAAATTGTCCTGATATTCTAGAACCAAAGGGCAAAATAGAAATTGAAAGAATCCACCAATCACCTCCTGAAAGAGATCCAAAAAGGAACAGTCCTAGGAATACTTTGGTGAAATTCCAGAGGTCCCAGATTAAGGAGAAAATATTGGAAGCAACCAGAAAGAAACAATTCAAGTATATTGGAAACACAATCAGGATAACACAAGACTTAGCAGTTTCTACATTAAGGGATCAGAGGGCTTGGAATATGATATTCCAGGGGCAAAGGAGCTAAGATTAAAACCAAGAATCACCTACCCAGCAAAACTGAGTATAATCCTTCAAGGGAAAAATGGATATTCAATGAAATAGAGGACTTTCAAGCATTCTTAATGAAAAGACCAGAGCTAGATAGAAAATTTGACTTTCAAATATAATACTCAAGAGAGGCATGAAAAGGTAAACAGGAAAGAAAAATCACAAGAGACTTATTAAAGTTGAACTGTTTAAATTCCTAAATGGAAAGATGACATTTGTAACTCATGAGACCTTTCCCAATGTTAGGGTAGTTGGAGGGAATATATATATAGACAGATATCTATATATCTATATCTATATCTATCTATCTATGTATATCTGTATCTATCTACATCTATCTATCTATCTATCTATCTATCTATCTATCTATCTATCTATCTATCTA